GGCAGCGAACTTTGGCATTTAGTTCGCTACGTAGCCCGAAAGGTTACCATACTGCCATGCATGTGTTGTCTTCTCTTGATTTCTCCTCGATTCTCTTTGTGGAAATCCTCTAGCTTGGACAGGACATATATTAAAGATTTTTCGAAGCTTTGGAGACTTTTCAAAATGCATCATATACGCTCAACAAATGCTTAAATTTTCTTTAGATGAGCTACGTACGTCATATTTCACTTACTCTTCGCTCCTAGACAAACCTTTGGAACTAACTTCTGACGTTTGAGGGTCTTGAGGATTTCGTAATTTCCTCCGGTAGGTCAAGTAAGTCTGGCATACTTCAGCAACTGCCTTTTCGTTGACCTTAACTTCTTTTGTTCCCTCACTTATTTAGACCATGGTACCTGGTCCAACTGCAAGGTGATCATCATCATCAGTCACTTCTCCATCTTCCTGGAGCTGCATTCTTCTACCATTTCTTAGGTACCGGGAGTCACGCCTATAAAAGCATTGGGATTCTACAAAACCGTTCTTCATGGCCTCTCAACTAGGCACCACCACCCCTTCGATGGAGCAATACCAGTCAAAGGCAATCCCCTCCAAAGAAAGGGGGAATTGTTATAGGCAAAGTTCTTGATTTTGAGCTGTTTCCCCACACTGTTTCAAAAAACGCCTAATTTGTTTTTGAGGATCTCCATACCCCTCATACAGGACAAAATTTGGAAGTTCGTATCCTTCAGGAAATGGTGTTTGCTCTACCCATAAAGGGAACAAAACCCTTAGGTGATAAGTGTCCATTTCTCGAAGATCAAGGGCAATTTCAATCTTCTCCTCAATTGTGCCTTTTATGAAATCAAATGTTTGAGAAGATGTACCTTCGTCATCCAAATGTTCTGACATCTCAATTTCTATTGGCCACGGTTTATAAAATGTCCTATAGAATCGATCAGCCATGGTGTCCCAATCTGGGACTGAATTAGGCGGCAGGCTGAAATACCAATTTGCTGCCCATCCTTCTAAAAAAAGAACGAATTGCCGTAGAAGTAACGCCTGGCTTTTTAATGTGTTTCCACATTGTGCAAGGAAACGAACCAAATGGCGCCTTGGACAACCGGTCCCATTATATAAAGGAAAACGAGATACTGCATATCCTCGTGGGAACTAAACCCATTCAACCCAATTAGGGAAAGGGTGTCCAGATATTTGATTTCTTTCAATAATCAAATTTTAATGGGCTGCAAAACCCTCATCTTTCAAAGAGACTGTTATTTTTGCCTGATGTTCCGCTTCCTTTCTAGCTTCAATTTTTGCTTTCTCATCATCACCTGGATTGCGAATGATATGTATTTCTCGCTCTTCAAAATTTACATCCACAGTGATGATACAAGGAAAGTCAAAGTGGTCACTTGATACACTTTCTCCATCGTATGTCCTAGCTGGGAATGTGTATGGTGAACCATCAGGAGAAAAGTTAAGTTTCCAATCTTCATTAGGATCCTCAACTTGAGATGACTTTGCTTGTTTACTTGAATGCTTCCATACTTCATCATTCGACTTACACCTGCCATTCACCTCATCATCCTTGAAGTGTAGTCGTTTTTTCGCCTTTTTCACAAGCTCAAAGTCGGACCTACACCCAGTGTCTCCTTGTTATGTTCCCTTTACATATTCTGGAGTGCTTTGATAGTACATTGGTGGTACTGGCGAATATTCTGGAGAAAAGGCTTCTAGTGTGTACTCCGAAGAAGCTAGTGTATACTCTGGTGAGGCTGGTGTGTATTCTGGAGAAATTGGTGTAAACTCTGGTGAGTCAAGTATGCAGTTAGAAGATGTAATGCAATCTCATTCCCTAACTTTTAAACCAATTTCACCCTCATCTTCCTCGTCATTACTCAAAACAATGATGGTTAAGCAAGGGGCCAAAGCAGTGTTGTCAAAGGCGCGCCTAGGCGCAGGGCGAGGCAAGGTGCACCATCTGCGCCTGTCGAGGGACCAGGCGAGGCGACTTCATCCAGGCGAGCGCCTTAGACGCGACTGGATAAAGGCGCGAGAGGCGCAAGGCGATTGCCTCTGTGCGACTGAGTGTTCAAGTGGTAGATTCCATCTAACGACTCAGATCAACCTAATCGACCTAATCAAAGGCCTCGTAATCATAGAGGATTACGACTCATGGACCATATGAGCCAAATAGGGCTCAGATAACCCTAATCGAAGTCGCCTCTTCCTGTCTTCCTCTTCCTCTGCGACTACGATCAAGTTCGATCAACTTCGCAGGTTCGATTAGGGTTCGCAGGTTCGATTCGCATGTTCTACTTCGATCAACTTCGCATGTTTCAACTTCGATCGACTTCGGCTCTGTGATTCGTCTTCGATCGCAGGTTCTCCCCTTCCCCTTCTTCTTCGTCTTCGATCGCAGGTTCTTCGATCGCAGGTTTAATTTTTTTTTTCTTTTATTTTTTTTTTAACTGTTTTGCTTTTATTTATTATTTTTTTTTCTTTTATTTTGTTTTTCAACTGTTTTGCTTTTATTTATTTATTTTTTTTCTTTTATTTTTTTTTTCAACTGTTTTGCTTTTATTTATTTATTTATTTTCTTTTATTTTTTTTTCAACTGTTTTGCTTTAATTTTTTAATTTTTTAATTTTTTTTTTCAATTATTTGAGTTGAGTCAATAAATTAATTCATTCATTCATACATACATACATAAATAAAAAAATAGATATATTACATTTATTATGATTATATTATACTGAAATTGATTCATCATTATACTGAAATTAATTAATTCACCACTAATTAAAAAAATTGAAAATTGATTCATAACATTAATTAATTCATACATTACATACATTAAATTACATACATTATACATTAATAGAAAATTGAATGTAACATAGGAATAAATGTAATGGAATGTACATTAATTAATTAATTCATCATTAATTAAAAAAATAGAAAATTGATTCATACATTACATTCATTAATTAATTCATCACATAACATGCATTACATTCATTATACTGAAATTATTTTTTTGTTATTTATTTTTTGTTTTGTGTAGTAAGTACTAAGTAGAAAATGACATCGGAAAGTAATAGAAAAGATCCGGCGTGGCAATATGTCCATTTGGTGGAGGAGAATAATTTAAACAAGTTTGAGTGTAATTTTTGTGGTAAAGTATCAAGTGGAGGTGTTTATCGGGTGAAACAACACCTTGCGGGAGGTTATAGGAATGTCACTGCTTGCCCGAAGTGTCCTTCTCATGTAAGAGAAGAGATTAGAGAGTTCATGTCCAAAAAAAAGACACAAAAAGAAGAAATGAACATGTTGCCTGATTTCGATGACATGGACATGGAAGATGAAGATGAAGATGTCGTTGAGATCAATGTCAATCAACACCGCAAGTTGACAAGCAGTAGCCAAGGTTCATCCAAATCCAAATCCAAATCCAAATCAAAAACGCCAAAGAGAAAATGGCCTATGGATGTTTACTTCACACCCAATCCTGAATCAGTAGTGAAAAATCGAAAAGACCAAGCAAAAGGGAAACAAACCAAAATTGATGCAAATGACCCTTACAAAAAAGAAATGAGAGCTCGGGCACTACAAAGATTTGCAAGGTGGATGTATGATGCTGACATCCCTTTTAATGCAGTAAATTATGAGAGTTTTGGACCAATGATTGAAGCCATTGGCCAATATGGTCCTGGTATGAAGCCACCGACATACCATGAAGTGCGGGTTACCCAACTCAAAAAAGAAGTGAAACATACTGAAGATTTAATGAAGTATCATAAAGAGGATTGTGCAAAATACGGGTGTTCCATAATGGCTGATGGTTGGACTGATAAGAGAGGAAGGACATTGATTAACTTTTTAGTTAATTGTCCAAGAGGAACCATGTTTGTTGAGTCGGTTGATGCTTCTAGCTATTCAAAGGATGGGCAAAAGCTATTTGAATTACTAGACAAGTTTGTGGAGAAAGTTGGAAAAGAGAATGTGGTGCAAGTTATCACTGATAGTGCTGCAGCTAATGTGTTGGCGGGTAAGAATATTTCCTCATTCCTTACATCAAAATTGTTTACTCATAGTTTGTTTTGTATTTAAAATTTAAAAACTTGAAAATAATAATTCTTCATTATTGTTACATTATAGGGAGGTTTTTGGAAGCTAAGTATGAACACTTGTATTGGACACCATGTGCTGAAAATCAGTTTCTCAAAACGATTTGCCGGATTTGGACTCTTTGGTTCAGATTAGGAACCGTGACATTTAAGAGTCCGAGCTGTAGTGACCCCAAATGAACAGAACGGGACTTAACCCTCCCGGGGCGTTCGGGGACGTCTACAATACCCCTCCCCGACAGCCAGCACAGCCTAACCAAGGCCATGACCGCCCTCCATAGCAACCTCGGGCACAAGGTAACCCCGCCCCACCTGTTGGAGAAATCAGAGTTATCTCCGGCGGGCTTGCTTGTGGAGGACCATCCCGAGTGGCTCAGCGGGCAGAACTCAGGAAAATAAGGCAGGGCTCAAACAAAGAAGTTGCCACGTTGGACCAACCCTCCAAACACCCCAGGCAATGGATCGAGCCTATCACCTTTACGGACGCCGACTGCACAGGCATCCGTTATCCTCATGACGACCCTCTCGTCATTTCCGCCCTCCTCTCCAATTACAAGGTCAGACGGGTTGTCGTCGATAACGGCAGTTCTTCAGACATCATCTTCCTCAATTGCTTCCGCCAACTCAAGATTGGGGAAGAAAGTCTGTCTCCCCTCCAAACCCCTTTGGTCGGTTTCACTGGCGACCGGGTGACCTCCATCGGCTCCATTAATCTTCCTATCACAATTGGCGAGTACCCGCGGTAGACCACAAAGTTGCTCACCTTCCTTGTTAACTGCCCATCTGCCTACAACGTCATCCTTGGCCGCACTGCCCTAAATGCTTTCCAAGCTATCACATCCACTTACCACCTTGCCATCAAGTTTCCTACCGATCTTGGGGTCGGAACAGTGAGGGGAGAGCAGACCGTGGCCAGAGAATGTTATGTCGCCTCACTTAAAGAAGTCAAGCTGAAGAAGGCTATGATCATTGAAGGACTCGATGTCAGAGATGAAGACGAGCTGGTCAGAGGGGAACCAGTGGAGGAGCTCGTCGAAGTCCTCGTCGACCCCACCAACCCGGCCAAAACTACCAAGATCGGCAGCCAACTATCCCCCCAAGCCAAGGCCGACCTCACTGCCATCCCTCCTTCATCAGCCACCGTCTCAGTGTTGAGCCCCATTTTCGACCTATCCGCCAGAAGCAGCGCATTTTTCACCCGGAACGCAATAACCTTATTGCTTCTGAAGTAGACAAACTCCTTGAGGCACAGTTTATCACTAATGTGAATTACCTCAGATGGCTGTCGAATGTGGTTCTGGTTCCTAAAAACAATGGTAAATGGCGACTCTGTATCGACTACTCCGACCTCAACCGAGCTTGCCCCAAGGACAGCTACCCTCTCCCTCGCATAGATCTGCTAGTCGACGCCACGGTCGGTCATCAAATGCTCAGTTTCATGGATGCCTTCTCTGGATACAACCAAATCTTGTTGCACCCATCTGACCAGGAGCACACTTCCTTCATCACCGACTAAGGCACTTACCACTACCGTGTGATGCCATTTGGGTTGAAGAATGTCGGGGCCACTTACCAACGATTGGTCAATGCCGTCTTCTATCATCAGATAGGCCGGAACATGGAAGTATATGTCGATGACATGCTGGTCAAGAGCAAGCTCTCCACCGATCATCTGGCCGACTTGCGAGAAACCTTCGCCACCCTACGAAAGTACCAGATGAAGCTCAATCTGAAAAAATGTGCCTTCGGTGTAGGATTTGGGAAGTTTTGGGGATTCATGGTCAGTCAGCGAGACATCGAGGCTAACCCCGAAAAGATCAAGGCCTTAATCGAAATGCAGTCACCTAGAACGGTCAAGGAGGTTCAGAGGCTTACTGGCCAAGTGGTCGCCCTCAACCACTTCATTTCCCGAGCAATGGATAAGTGCCTCCCCTTCTTCAAAGTCCTTCGTTAAACTTTTGAATGGACGGCAGAATCTGAAGAGGCCTTTCAACAGTTGAAACAGTGCATGGCTAACCCCTCCTATTTTCTCAAGCCATCACGGGCGAGCCCCTCCTCCTCTATCTAGCTGTGTCACACACTGCAGTCAGTGCAACGCTCGTCAGGGAAGACAGCTCTGTCTAGCGACCAGTCTACTACATCAGTCGGGCTCTTCGGGGGGCGGAACAGAAGTACCCATTGTTAGAAAAAATGTCATTGGCCTTGGTCACCGCCTTCAGACGACTCCGCCCTTACTTCCAAACCCATTCCATAGTGGTCCTCACTGACCAACCGTTGAAGAAGATAATGCAACAACCAGAGCTTTTTGGCAGGCTTATGCAATGGTCGGTCGAACTCAGTCAGTTTGATATCTCCTACTGACCTCGGACAGCAATTAAGGGACAGGCTGTTGCCGACTTCATCTTGGAATTCACTAACCTCACCCCAACCGCAACTCCTCCACCCCCACCAACCTTTACCGAGCCAGAAGACCTCCACTCTTGGACCCTCAACGTCGGCGGATCATCCCACAAAGAAGGCAGTGGGGCTGGTCTCATCCTCACCGCCCCTGACGGTGGTTATTTCAAATGTGCTCTCCGCTTCCTGTTCGATACAAGCAATAATGAGGCCGAATATAAGGCATTGATAGCAGGACTCCGCCTAGCCAGAGACATCGGTGTTAGCCACATCCGGGTGTTCAATGATTCCTAGCTTATCGTCGGGCAAATTACGGGGGAATTCGACGCCAATGAGGACACCATGCGGGCATATAGGGATATTGCTCTCTCCCTTGCTCGCCTCTTCAATACCTTCCACATCAAGCACATCCCTCGGGCTGAAAACTAAAAGGCAGATGAGATGGCCCAATTGGCTTCTGCAGACCACTCAGACCTCAACCATGGGGTCCGCCTCGAATACCTAACCAACCCGGCCATCTCCCCCAACCTGCAGGAAGTCCACTTCCTCCAAGATGAACCTATCCCATGGGCGGCAGACATCTTTCTGTATTTGACAACGAGGGAACTTCCAGACAACGAACAGAAGGCCACCAAAGTTAGGGCTCGGTCATCTAATTAGACCCTTGTCAGCGGCCTCTTGTATAAACGTGGCTTTTCACGCCCGTATCTGTGATGCCTCAATCCCGCTCAAGCAACCTATGTGATGAGGAAAGTTCATGAGGGTATCTATGGTAATCATTCGGGCGCCCGGTCCCTCGCCCATAAAATACTTCGCACTAGTTATTTCTGGCCTACTCTCAATCAAGATGCGACTGACTTCGTACTCAAATGTGATAAGTGTCAATGTTTTGCCAACATCCCCCATGCTTCTCCTACAGAATTGATCACGCTTTGCAGCCCCTACCCATTCGCCAAATGGGGGATCGACCTGGTTGGCCCATTGCCCACTGGCCGAGGCCAAACCAAATTCGCAATTGTCGCCATCGACTACTTCACTAAATGGGTGGAAGCAGAATCCCTTGCTACCATTACTGAGCGGAACACAACCCGATTCATCTGGAAGTCAATCGTATGCAGGTTTGGCATCCCTTAAGCCATCGTCTCCAACAACGGCAAACAATTCGACAACGCCAAGTTCAGGAAATTCTGTGCAGAACTCCAAATCCAGCCATGTTTCTCTTCTCCAGGTCATCCCCAAGCCAATGGCCAAGTTGAGGTCACCAACCGTTCTCTCCTAAAGATCATCAAAACCAAGCTGGAAGCTACTAAGGGACTTTGGGCTGAGGAATTACCCAATGTACTCTAGGCTTACCGCACCACCGCTCGAACTCCCACTGGGGAGACCCCCTTTCGCCTAACATACGGCGCTGAGGCGGTCATCCCAGTGGAAGTCGGTCTACTAACCCCAAGGGTTTTACACCCGAATCCAAAACTAACCGAAGAGCTGCGTCGGGCAGACCTAGATCTGATTGAAGAACTCCGAGAAACCACCGCTGTCAGACGGGCCTCATACCAACAGAACATAAGAACACACTACAACCGCAAAGTCAGACCGAGGGAATTCGCCATGGTGGACCTTGTTTTGCGAGAAGTAACTCTTGCCACCAAAAATCCGACTGAGGGCAAACTGGCAGCCAAATGGGAGGGACCTTACGTTGTGAAAGTCCGACCACGTCCGGGCACTTACCGACTTCAAGACATGGAAGGTCGAGACCTCGTCCATCCTTGGAACACTGAACATTTGAAGCGCTATTTTCAATAAAAGTTGTATTTTTGTATTGTCCGATTGTTATATGTTCTTTTTGACAATCTGCACACTTGAATGTTCTCATTTTCTCCTCATATAGTGTAAATTTATGATCCAATGGGCTACACTTTGTATGACAGCAAGCTTGTATCTCAGTTATTTGTGGTATTTCAATAACGCTTTGATTGCAGCCTCAGCCAGACTGAGCAACAAAAAGCCTCAGCCAAATTGAGTAACAAAAAGCCTCAGCCAAACTGAGCACAATAAGCCTCAGCCAGACTGAGCATGAAGAGCTCGGCCAGACCGAGTCATTTAAAGCCTCAGCCAGACTAAGCACAAAAAGCCTCAGCCAGACTGAGCACGAAGAGCACGGCCAGACCGAGTCAATTAAAGGCACCCCAAGAAGAGGGAGAGAGGCCTGGGTTGAGGACCGCCTTCTACCACGTCCCTGCGGTGTCTGGGTGAGTGGAAGGGGAAGGGAGATAGGCCAGGATGGCTGCAGACCGCCTCTTGGGGGTGGTGGAAGACGCAGCTGTTCGCTCAGTGGCTGGTTATACTGAGGCTGAGCTGATGAAGGGGTTGTGCTCAGCCCAGATGGAAGCGGCTGCCTTAGCAGGAGCCCTGTTGAACAAGGCGGCGGTGGCGAAGGGCGAATTGAGGAGGGAAAGGGAGAGGTTGGGGTAGGTGGAGGCCCAACTTGAAAATTTCAAGAGGGAAAGCGTGGGCTGGAGGAGGGCTATGCGGAGTGCGTGTGCCAGGGGGTTGGGGGAGGCTCAGAAGGCGAAGAAGATGGAGGTGTTGGCGATCGTGTAGCGCAATGTTACCGTTCGAGCCCATGTTGAGCTGCTCGCGGTCAAGTTGGAGCTAGAGGACGAACGCCGCAAGGTAGTGTCACTCAAGTTCCAGTTGGCTGGTGAGCAGAAGAAGCTGGGGGATGCTCAAAATGCCTGCACGGTCGCCACCGAGCGGTTTGAAGAGGCTATGACCAGCAATGAAGAACTGCGCGCCCAGCAAATCAAAGAAAAGGATGAAGTAGACCTAAAGATTGCTGGGCTGCAGAAAGAGCTGGAAGATGAGCGTGCTAGGGCAATAGAGGAGAAGGCGAGGTTGGAGAAAGAGTTGGAGGAAGAAAAAACCAAGGCAGCCTCTGAAAGGGCAGCATACCTCGATCTGTACGTCGCAGCAGTAGAGCAATTTAAGGTGTCTGCTGACTTTCAGATGGCCATCGATGCTGCTATTGCCAGCAACTTGACGAGAGAGGGGGCTGGGGGGGCTGGTCCGTCGGGGACGACCGCTGGGAGCAGGAGCAAAGACGAAGTGATCCAGAGCTTCCAGCGGTCGGACTTCTACAAACACGAAATGGCTGAATTCTGAGACAGTGGCTGGAAGATGTTCAAGCGCAAAGCAGAAGAGCTGTTCCCAGACATAGACTTCAGCAGTGTTAGAATTGACGAAGACGACGTGGCCTAGACCCCCCTAGATGAGGGCATTGAAGAGGAAGATCTCGCTTTAAGTGAAGAATAGAAGTGAGTGGAGTGGAGAAAATATGTACTTAGAGTTTTGGTTTTTTTTTTTTTTTTTTTTTGAAAGGTTGTAATAAACTTATGTGCAAGTTTGTAAATGAATAAAATTTTGAGTCGTTTTTCATGCTATTGGTTTTGTTTGTGCATCTGAAATGAATGAGAATGGTGACTTGTATAAGGCTTGTGTATAAATCATTGTGAAGTGCAAAATGTAAGGAAAACTCAATGTAAAGTGAAGTTTAACACGTAAGGCAACCTCAATGCAGAGTGACTGTAAGGAAAACTCAATGTAAAGTGGAGTTTAACTTGTAAGAAAAATTCAATGCAGAGTGAATGTGAGAAAAACTCAATGCAGAGTGAAGTTTAACTTGTAAGAGTGTTAAAGATGCGAAGTTTGTGAATCCCAACCCAGTAAGGAACCAATCTGATTTGGAAAACGTTGGACTGGAATTTGACTAAGTATGGCCATTATGCTTACGATCATGAAGTTGCAATGGTGGCTCGGCCTGGCTGGGGCTTGAAGTAACTCAATCTGGCGGAGCGCGTATGACCATTATGCTTATGATCATGAAGTTGCAATGGTGGCTCAATTTGGCTTAGGCTTGAAATAACTCGGTTTGGACGTACTTTTCATGTTCAGTCTGGCTGAGGCATTAAGTGACTTGGTCTGGCCGAGTTCTTCATGCTCAGTCTGGCTGAGGCTTTTAGTGACTTGGTCTGGCCGAGCTCTTCATGCTCAGTCTGGCTGAGGCTTTTAGTGACTCGGTCTGGCCGAGCTCTTCGTGCTCAGTCTAGCTGAGGCTTTTTGTGCTCAGTCTGGCTGAGGTTTTAAATGACTCGGTCTGGACGAGCTCTTCATGCTCAGTCTGGCTGAGGCTTGTTGTGCTCAGTCTGGCTGAGGCTTTTTGTTGCTCAGTCTGGCTGAGGCTGCAATCAAAGCGTTATTGAAATACCACAAATAACTGAGATACAAGCTTGCTGTTATACAAAGTGTAGCCCATTGGATCATAAATTTACACCATATGAGGAGAAAATGAGAACATTAAAGTGTGCAGATTGTCAAAAAGAACATAAAGTAATTGGATAATACAAAAATATAACTTTTATTGAAAATGGCGCTTCAAATGCTCAGCGTTCCAAGGATGGGGGAGGTCTCGACCTTCCATGTCCTGAAGTCGGTAAGTGCCCGGACGTGATTGGGCTTTCACAACGTAAGGTCCCTCCCACTTGGCTGCTAGTTTGCCCTCAGTCGAATTTTTAGTGGCAAGAGTTACTTCTCACAAAACAAGGTCCCCCACGGCAAATTCCCTCGGTCTGACTTTGCGGTTGTAGTGTGTTCTCATTTTCTGTTGGTATGAGGCCCGTCTGACAGCGGTGGTTTCTCAGAGTTCTTCGAGCAGATCTAGGTCTGTCCGACGCAGCTCTTCAGTTAGTTCTGGATTCAGGTGTAAAATCCTTGGGGTTGGCAGACCGAATTCCACTGGGATAACCGCCTCAGCGCCGTATGTTAGGCGAAAGGGGGTCTCCCCAGTGAAAGTCCGAGCAGTGGTGCGGTAATCCCAGAGTACATTGGGTAATTCCTCAGCCCAAAGTCCCTTAGCAACTTTCAGCTTGGTTTTAATGATCTTCAAGAGAGAACGGTTGGTGACCTCAACTTGGCCATTAGCTTGGGGATGACCTGGAGAAGAGAAACATGGCTGGATTTGGAGTTCTGCACAGAATTTCCTGAACTTGGCGTTGTCGAATTGTTTGCCGTTGTCAGAGACGATGGCTTGAGGGATGTCAAACCTGCATAAAATTGACTTCCAGATGAATCGGGTGTGTTCCACTCAGTAATGGTAGCAATGGGTTCTGTTTCCACCCATTTAGTGAAGTAGTCGATGGCGACAATTGCGAATTTGGTTTGGCCTCGGCCAGTGGGCAATGGGCCAACCAGGTCGATCCCCCATTTGGCGAATAGGTAGAGGCTGCAAAGCGTGATCAATTCTGTAGGAGGAGCATGGGGTATGTTGGCAAAATGTTGACACTTATCACATTTTAGTACGAAGTCAGTCGCATCTTGATTGAGAGTAGGCCAAAAATAACCAGTGCGAAGTATTTTATGGGCGAGGGACCGGGCGCCCGAATGATTACCACAAATACCCTCATGAACTTCCCTCATCACATAGGTTGCTTGAGCGAGATTGAGGCATCGCAGATACGGGCGTGAAAAGCCACGTTTGTACAAGCGGCCGCTGACAAGGGTGTCATTAGACGACCGAGCCCTAACTTTGGCGGCCTTCTGTTCGTCGTCTGGAAGTTCCCCCGTTGTCAGATACAGAAAGATGTCTGCAGCCCATGGGATAGGTTCATCTTGGAGGAAGTGGACTTCTTGTAGGTTAAGGGAGCTGGCCGGGTTGGTTAGGTATTCGAGGCGGACCCCGTGGTTGAGGTCTGACTGGTCTGTAGAAGCCAATTGAGCCATATCATCTGCCTGGGAGTTTTCAGCCCGAGGGATATACTTGATGTGGAAGGTATTGAAGAGGCGAGCAAGGGGGAGAGCAATATCCCTATATGTCTGCATGGTGTCCTCCTTGGCATCGAATTCTCCCGTAATTTGCCCGACGATCAGCTGGGAATCGCTGAACACCCGGATGTGGCTGACACTGATGTCTCTGGCTAGGCGGAGACCTACTATCAATGCCTCATATTCGACCTCATTATTGCTTGCATCGAACAGGAAGCGAAAAGCACATTTGAAGTAACCACCGTCAGGGGTGGTGAGGATGAGACCAGCCCCACTGCCTTCTTTGTGGGATGATCCGCCGACGTTGAGGGTCCAAGAGTGGGGGTCTTCTGGCTCGGTAAAGGTTGGTGGGGGTGGAGGAGTTGTGGTTGGGGTGAGGTTAGTGAATTCCAGGATGAAGTCAGCAACAGCCTGTCCCCTAATTGCTGTCCGAGGCCGGTAGGAGATATCAAACTGATTGAGTTCGACCGACCATTGCATAAGCCTGCCGAAAAGCTTTGGTTATTGCATTATCTTCTTCAACGGTTGGTCAGTGAGGACAACTATGGAATGGGCTTGGAAGTAAGGGCAAAGTCATCTGGAGGCGGTGACCAAGGCCAAAGACATTTTTTCTAACAATGGGTAGTTCTGTTCCGCCTCCCGAAGACCCGGACTGATGTAGTAGACCGGTCGCTAGACAGAGCTGTCTTCCCTGACGAGTTCTACACTGACTACAGTGTGTGACACAGCTACATAGAGGAAGAGGGGCTCGTCCGTGATGGCTTGAGAAAGTAAGGGGGGTTAGCCATACACTGTTTCAACTGTTGAAAGGCCTCTTCAAATTCTGTCGTCCATTCAAAAGTTTGCCGAAGGACTTTGAAGAAGGGGAGGCACTTATCCGTTGCTCGGGAAATTAAGCGGTTGAGGGCGGCCACTCGGCCAGTAAGCCTCTGAACCTCCCTGACCATTCTAGGTGACTGCATTTCGATTAAGGCCTTGATCTTTTCGGGGTTAGCCTTGATGCCCCGCTGACTGACCATGAATCCCAAAAACTTCCCAGATCCTACGCCGAAGGCACATTTTTTCGGATTGAGCTTCATCTGGTACTTTCGTAGGGTGGCGAAGGTTTGTCACAAGTCGGCCAGATGATCGGTGGAGAGCTTGCTCTTGACCAGCATGTCATCGACATATACTTCCATGTTCCGGCCTATCTAATGATGGAAGACGGCAATAACCAACCGTTGGTAAGTGGCCCCGGCATTCTTCAACCCAAATGGCATCACACGGTAATGGTAGGTGCCTCGGTCGGTGATGAAGGAGGTGTGCTCCTGGTCAAATGGGTGCAACAAGATTTGGTTATATCCAGAGAAGGCATCCATGAAACTGAGCATTTGATGATCAACCATGGCGTTGACCAGCAGATCTATACGAGGGAGAGGGTAGCTGTCCTTGGGGCAAGCTCGGTTGAGATCGGAGTAGTCAATACAGAGTCGCCATTTACCATTGTTTTTACGAACCAGAACCACATTCGACAGCCATCTGGGGTAGTCCACATCAGTGATAAACTGTGCCTCAAGGAGTTTGTCTACTTCAGAAGCAATAAGGTTATTGCGTTCCGGGTGAAAAATGCACTGCTTCTGGCGGATAGGTCGGAAATGGGGCTCAACACTGAGACGGTGGCTGATGAAGGAGGGATCAGTACCCGACATATCGGAGTGAGTCATTTACCATTGTTTTTACGAACCAGAACTACATTCGATAGCTATCTGGGGTAGTCCACATTAGTGATAAACTGTGCCTCAAGGAGTTTGTCTACATCAGAAGCAATAAGATTATTGCGTTCCTGGTGAAAAATGCGCTGCTTCTGGCGGATAGGTCGGAAATGGGGCTCAACACTGAGACGGTGGCTGATGAAGGAGGGATCAGTACCCGGCATATCGGAGTGAGTCCAGGCAAACACGTCGTTGTGTTCAACCAGAAGGGCAGTGAGGTCGGCCTTGGCTTGGGGGGATAGTTGGCTACCGATCTTGACGGTTTTGGCCGGGTTGGTGGGGTCGATGAGGACTTCGACGAGCTCCTCCACTAGTTTCCCTCTGACCAGCTCGTCTTCATCTCTGACATCGAGTCCTTCAATGATCATAGCCTCTTTCAACTTGACTTTTTTAAGTGAGGTGACATAACATTCTCTGACCACGGTCTTCTCTCCCCTCACTATTCCGACCCCAAGATCGGTAGGGAACTTGATGGCAAGGTGGTAAGTGGATGTGATAGCTTGGAAAGCATTTAGGGCAATGCGGCCAAGGATGATGTTGTAGGCAAAGGAGCAATCAACAACAAGAAAGGTGAGCAACTTTGTGGTCTGTCGCGGGTACTCGCCAATTATGATAGGAAGATCGATGGAGCCGATGGAGGTCACCCGGTCACCAGTGAAACCGACCAAAGAGGTTTGGAGGGGAGACAGACTTTCTTCCTCAATCTTGAGCTGGCAAAAGCAATTGAGGAAGATGATGTCTGAAGAACTGCCGTTATCGACAAGAACCCGTCTGACCTTGTAATTGGAGAGGAGGGCGGAAATGACGAGAGGGTCGTCATGAGGATAACGGATGCCTGTGCAGTCGGCGTCCGTAAAGGTGATAGGCTCGGTCCACTGCCTGGGGTGTTTGGAGGGTCGGTCCAACGTGGCAACTTCTTTGTCTGAACCCTGCCTTATTTTCCTGAGTTCTGCCCACTGAGACGACCAGGATGGTCCTCCACAAGCAAGCCCGCCGAAGATAACTCTAATTTCTCCAACAGGTGGGGCGAGGTTAACTTGTGCTCGAGGCTGCGGTGGAGGGCGGTCATGACCTTGGTGATGAAGAAAGTTCAGATGAAGAACTAACTCACCATGTGGTCAAAAATGTTGTGATAAAATTTTAAAAGAAAATTAGAAAATTGGTTGTAATACATTTCCTAAAAGGAAAGGATTTTCCAAAAAGCGTAGAAAATATAAATGAAAACCTTGGAAAAAGAACAAATTTTTTTCAAAAAAGAAAAAGTATATTCGAAAAAAGAAACCAACAAGTGTTTCAAAAAAGAAAACTTGTAAATGTTACATTTGTAACGAAGAAGGTCACTATGCACCCGAATGCCCAAAACGGGAAAAAAGTGCAAAGAAAATTATCAAAGTCCTTGAAGAACAAGATTTTGAAATAATATATGGAGAAGAAATTTCTGATAAAAAAAAATCTTATATGAAATTTCTAGTGATGAAGAAAGTTCAGATGAAGAACTAATCTTCATGATGACTAATAATAGTCAAGAAATATCTCAAGAAGCAAATAGTATATCTCAAGAAGAATTACAGGCAATTTGACTTGGAGATGTAATCGGAGAAGAAAAACTTTTACCGACGAAGAATTAGCAAAATTTGAAAAAATGCAAGAAGTTATTGTTCCAGAAATTTACAAACTTTCAAAATTTAACTTCTTTTCAGCAAGAGTGTTTGAACAATACAGTGGTAACACTCAAGCAAAATGGTCAGAAGAAGGAAATATTGATCTTCCTTTTTTTTATAAGAAAAAGGTTGCAAGATGGAAAAACAAATATCCTGAAATTCAATACATTCATATTGGATTAATTCAAGTAACCATAACAGCCTTATTTCGCCAAGGGATAGATACTCCTATTTTGGCAGTAATTTTTGATAAAAGGTTTTCCGACCCAATGAAAGCAATCATTGGAGGAATTCAGTCTAATTTGGTTAATGGAGTAGTTTGGTTTAATGTTAGACCAAATTTCTTTATTTCCATAAATGATCCTAATCTTGAACATACAGTCAGAATAAGAATTAAAACACAAGGATTAGGAATGAAATCAAATTCTCATGATTTGGCTATTCGTTGGAAAACAATTCACGAATTAACCAAATTTCCTGAAACAAAAACAAGATCAAACGATAATAAAATCGTCGAAATCTTTGAACCAAGATCATTTGACACGGTAATACAACCTCGTCTAATGAATTGGAGCGATTTAGAAGTCCCTCGACAATGGTTAATCCAAGGCCTAGTGGGACAAGGAGAATCTTCTAAAACAAAAAAACCTGCACAATTACAAATGCAGGCATCAAGAAAAAATTTATATGTTAAAAATACAGTTCCAAAAATTAAAAGATCAACTTCTGTATTTGAAAAAGATTTTCCTAACAAATCATTTTCAAAGTTAAGCATTGGAGAATCAAGTAATAATTCTAATCAAGAATCTATTACTTAAAACAATGTTCAGATTCCTATTTTTTCAGGAACAAGAAAACTTGAACATATTAAGTCCGTATATATGTATCATTTTCAAACAAAAAATGATGATATTATTTTTTCTCCTAGCCAAGGAAAAAGAAGATATACATATGTATTGGGAACATTTAATTTTACAAGTTATAAACCCTATAGCCTCAGTGTTCTCATAGATACAGGAGCTACAGTCAGCTCATATAAATGGAATGCCATACCAAAAGAAAAATGGACATTAATGAAACATCCAATTTTAGTTACCGGAATAGATGGCAACCATACTTCCATACAATTCAAGGCTAAAAATATAACTATTTGGTTAAATGATAGCAAATTCATTATAACAAAAATTTTATGTTTTCCGTTTATGCATGAAGATTTCCTTCTTGGCAATAATTTTATATATAAATACTTTCCAATGCAAATATAGGAAAAGGCTATTTCATTAAGCATAAACAATGTCTTAATTCATATTTCCTTATTAGAACAACATAAATACATTTGTGATAAAGAGTTTGCGCCCGTGCCGCGTGGTGATTTAACTCCCATCATCAAAACTATTGATGAATCACATTGGATTTATAAAATTTTAGAAGAAAATTTTAGTGAACATCCATTAAAACTATGGCAACGTAGTCCACGTTATTGTAATTTAAAATTGAAAGATCCTAATGTTATCATTAGAGTAAGACCGATGATCTATACTAGACAAGATATAGATGAATTTGATATTCAACTCCCAAAAATTAGCTTTACCATCTAATCCGTTTGTATTTAATTGTATCCAACTTCTATTCCTCCATACATATTTTTTTTTTCCCTTTTCTTACAGAAGTCATTCACTTGTACTATAATTTTGCAAAACTGATCTCGTAATAGCAGTGATGATGATGTGCGCTGCCATTGCAAACATAAACAAAAACACTAAAGTTGTGCCATATTTATGCGATGTACTAAATTGATCCTCTGTTTATAAACTATATTGGTGGCTGCCCAATATTTATTTAATTTTTTTTTTGTCAGCAAAGTCAGTTGGCTTTAATTTAA